TTCCCCTGCCCAATACTGTCTTTTTCTGCCCCATTTTCTGTTCCTTTTGCTCCCTCAACATTTCACCTTACAATGAGATGATTTAGAGTCATCCAGCCTCGCAACTTACTGGGTTTATGGACCTTACCCTCTCTGGAACAGTTTTCCTATGATAAAATAGGAGTGACAGTACCTACCTGAAGACTAGATAGGATGTGTGTATATTAAAGCATTTAGCACAGTATCTGGCCCATAGTAACACTCAGTGACAGCTATTACTACGTAACTATCCACAGGACTCACTTGTCTAACGATGCTTAAAATGCCAAAGGCAGAAGGTTGAGTTTTTTTCCCCCTTCCTCGGCAAGTCTGGTTTTAAGAAAAACCTGTTTGGAAACAAACTGACACACGTCCTTGTCACTAGTCACAATACTTCCCTTTTCCTTTTTCACAGGGAAATAAATGACCCTGACCAGTTATGCCAAACTGGGTAAAAGGTTCTGTTCCAAATATGGTTAGGACCCCAGACTAGTTTAATTAAGTAAGAAAATGAAATTAAAATCATCCATAAAGTAGTTGAGCTAGGGCAATGAGAGGGTTTGCTCAAGTTCTAGGTCTTGGGAATCAGCAACCCATGCCAAGCAAAAAGGTAGAGGAGGGAAAGGAAAGGGTTCCTTTCTGGGAGCAGCGCTATAATCAATACTCTTTCTATATCCCATAGTCCAGCCCCTGGGTCCCTGAAAACTCTTTACACTGTCCCAGGTATCTCTTTTTGGAAGCCCACCTAGGCCCCTCTAAATGCTTCAGAATTACCTTCTCTGACTCTGCCCCAATTTTAAAGGAATATACCAGTTAACCTAAATGCATCTCTCCTATAGCATTTCAGATTGACAACTTAAAAGTAAATGGGGGTTAAATGTGAAAATGGAGGGGAGGCTGTAAGAGAGGAAAGGTGGCCTTCAGGATGGAGAAACTCTTTTAGGTGCAAGTCTACCTAGGTCAGGTGCCCTTAACTGGTCCATGAGAGCACAAATCTGGAACCAAATGCCTAAGCCTGAAGTCCATCTCCACCACTTTCTAAGTGAGACACTCAGTAAGTCACTGCTCCTTGTGCCTTGGCTTCCCCATGTAGAAAGGAGGGATCCAAACAGCACCTACCCTCTAGGGCTATTGTGAGGACTGAGTGAGTTCATCCATGCAGAGCCTGTACACAGTCAATTGTCTCTAAGTGTCTGAGGCCGCTACCCGTACTAACGTCATTATCATCATGATGCTACTTTCCCCGCTGCTTTTCCTTTTCCACTCACAAACCCAACAATTCTCAATCAAAGGCAGCTTTGGTGGTGGAGGTGGGTGAAACGAGGGGGGGAAGACAGGGAGGAGTGCAGCTGGGACCTTCAGAAGTCAGCATTTTGTAGGCTGGGAGCAGTCTGTGCTGAAGGTTTGTTGTGGTAACCCAGAGGGGCTACAGAAGCTAGAAGTATTGCCTACTCTTGATCCTCCCTTTGGATGATTACTCTGCTCCTCCTCTCTTCTCAAGCTCTAACACTGACATGGGGAAGACCTCCCCAAACCGAGGTTTCCTCCATACTTTACTTAAATCAGCAACAGAAAAGAAGCAGGGCAGAAGAGAGGACAAGGCTGGAACCAAACAAAGTTTCACTTTGCCTTTTAGTTATTATTTAAAAGAGTAAAGAAGAGGGGAGCCTGGGTGGCTCAGTTGGTTAAGCGACTGCCTTCGGCTCAGGTCATGACCCTGGAGTCCCGGGATCGAGTCCCACATCGGGCTCCCTGCTCAGCAGGGAGTCTGCTTCTCCCTCTGACCCTCTTCGTCTCATTCTCTCTCTCTCAAATAAATAAAATCTTAAAAAAAAAAAACAAATATGTATAGAAAAAATAAAATAAAAGAGTAAAGAAGTCAATAAAAGCTACTAGTTAACCACTTGCTGTCTGTCTCCTTCTGGAGTTAACCAAACCAGATCCTTCATTGGATATACAATCAAATAGACCTCTGTAGACTTATCTAATGCAGAAAGACTCCTTTCCTGGCTTCCATTCACACACCAAGACATGCTCGCTTCTCTCTTCTTGTGATAGATGCTGAGCAGGCCCTGCAAGAGGGGTGCAGGGAGACCCAGTTGTTCTTACCACAGAACTTAATACTTAGCAGAAGCTCCTGCCCTTCTTCTTGTACCTTTCAGCAAGGTACAAAACAACAGTCCTACTTCTCCTCCCTTCTGTAATCTGATTATCACCACTTTCTTTTTTTTTTTATAAATTATGGCAGTTTTCTCTGTGAAATTCTGACTCCACAATGACAGTCAATGAATTGTAGGGTTTGGGGTGATAGTTTCCCTGTCCTCCCTCCCCAGTTTCTTGATGATAAACCTTCTTACTCAAAGACAGCTAAAGCCCAAACCATGAAAACAGCAAGTCATGTACAGCTGAGCCCACGAGGGTAGGGATGTTCTATCCACTGGTATATCCCAAGCATTACAGAGCCTGACACCCTCCACCATTCCACCCAACTCTACAGGAACAGAGCTGAATTCTGAAAAGTGGAACCGAAGATGGGGGAGGAGATCATGGAAGGAAGGGGAAGTCCACAAAGAGTTTAGGTAAATTTCCAAACAATATCCCCATCATTCCCATAACTTCCTGTATTATTTGTAGAAGTTAAAGACTGAAAAGGAATCAGAATTTCAACTTTGCCATCTAAAGGAGAAACTGAGAGCCTTACTACACAGATTTTAGCCCAGTGCTGCTGTGTCTCCAGGTTTACAATTTCAACCCACAGCCTAAGTTTAAAAAGCCTGGGTGCTAAAGATATCCCCTGGGTTAGAAAAATCACAAATTTCCTGTCCACACACCACCTTGATTCTCTCTGTCCTTATTCTCACCTTCTGGTCTTATTAAATACTTCATACTCTCCAAATATACATGCTTTTCCAGCTCTGATTATTTTTTCTAAAGTAATGACCCTCCACCTGGCTAAAAGAATGCTTCTGGCTCGAGAAAAAGTCCAGGGTGTGAAAACTTTATGTCAATGAAAAATAAAGCCCTAGTACAATCACAGCTCATCAGGCCCCACGGAGGCACCAGCAACAGGAGTTAGGGACTGACATCTGCTCTTTAGTCACCACTAAAGCTTGGGAGTTAAGAGCACACACTTCGAAATCTGACAGCCCAGGTATGAATGCCAGTCCTGCTCTCACTTCTTCGACCTAGGATCCCACCAAACCCTAGTTTCTTGTCTGTAAAACTGGATAGGAACCAGGTCCACATTCCTAAAGATTCTTTGCAAGAGAAATACTCAAACCATGTTTTTCCTATAATTCTGGAATTAACTGAAGTTATTTAATATGCTATCAAAAAAGTTCAAAAATGTTTAAAACATGGAGCACAATAAGAATTCACTTAGGGCTAAAACAACCTGAGCCAAATTTCTGACCTGAGAGTACATTTGACAATCAAATAGAATTTGTAATATCCTCTTAAAGGCTCTTTACAGATGTGCTCACGGGAGAAAGCAACCACAATAATGAACTGGCATCTGCATGGCCAGGTAATGAGAGAGCAAAGCCTTCCTGCTGGCAGCAGCAACGCAAAATAAGATCTCTTTCTCACTATAAAACCCAGCTCATTCTCATCCTTGGGGTACAAGTCATCCTTCTAAATGACTGTCTACATAGCAAACTGTCAGATGGGACCAAATAGACACCGATGTTCTGATGTTTAAATGCCATTCTCTCCATCTACAACCCACTAAAAAAGAAAAAAGTAATAAGCCTTATTTAAAAAAGACACTTTTCACAATTCTCCGCATTAACGCACTTCCGGTTAACCTTAATTAATGTCTGTGTTAAACAACAACATTAAAAGAACGTAACTGTGATCGGCATGCATTCTTGGAAACGCTTTCCCTGAATTAAACCTTAGAAGAAAACCAACCAAGACATAGGGCTAATCCATGCCCCCTAATGGGATGAGGCAGAGGCCTTGCCTGAGGGGCCTAACAAACAATTGTGATGACTAGTTTACCATCCAGGCCAGAACCTGCAAAGTCTATCACTACGTCTGGCTTTCTGCTTAACACAAGGCGAGCCTCGGATGCGTGTAAGGGCTCCTCGAGGTGGTTTTTAAACTAGGAATTTACAGTGCACCACACTGACCTCCAAGCGCACTATCACCTTGTAAGGCATTTAGGCAAGGGGGGGCTGGCTCGTAGGTAAGTGACGTATGGGGCTGCCATCATCTCACCTAGTCCATCACGACCCGAAGAAAATAAAAGCAGAAAGCACTTCATGGTTCTCGTGGCCACCTGCCCAGAGCGACCAACCCACACTCGGCCCCTGCTAGACTCCAGATCAAAGATACCAAGACAGGACTTACCTCCGGAGGCCGGCGCTCGCCTGGCCACGGTGCAACAGAGGAGCCCCATACCCCAGCTCGAGTGCAAGGCCAATGGCCCGAAGGCTGGGCTGGAACGGCAAGGCAGTACGCACCCCATCCCTAGGCCTCCCGACCCGGGTTAAGATAAGAGATCTTCGCCCCCGCCCCCAAAGCTTCCCCAGAACACTCAGTCCCAGCCACTCTCCCTCCCACTCCCACAAGACGATGGAAGCCTCCTCGCTCCTCTGGCCTCCCCCAGTGCCAGCCTCCCCTGGAACTCCGGGGCACGCGCGGCCGCACTTGACCGAACATCCAACTCCTGGAAGTCAAGGACAGGGGCCGGGAGGGCTGGGGGAGCGCGAGGAGGGGCTTCTCCGTCCGCTCCGCCGCCCGGCCAGGGAAAGGGCTCGAAGGGGCCGCCAGAAGGAGGCGCCAAGCGACCACTGCGGGTCCCGAGCCCCCCGGGCTGCCCAAGGGGTAGGTCTTCAGCCACAGGTCCGGTCGCGGCGGTCGCCGGCTCTAAAGCCGCCCCCTGGGGGCCCCGGAAACCCTGCGCTCAAGGGCGCGGGTGGGATGCGGCCCCCACGGAACGGTTAGGGCCGGTCTAGGTCCCGAAGCCCAGTCCTCACCTCCGCCTCATGCTGGTGTGTCCCCCGGAGCCGGCGTCCCCTGGCCGGCCCGGGCCGCCGAGCCCCGCTCCGGGCCCGCAGCACGGCAGCCCCCGCGCGCCAGCCGCAGCTTCCGCGCGGGTAACAGCAGCCGCGGCAGCTGAAGCAGCGGCGCTGCCGCCGGTGGCTGGGCGGGCACATGGGAGGGCGGGGGCTGCGGCCCTGACCATAGGACCCCAGCCTCGGGGGCGACAGATCTAAGTGCGCCTCTGAAACTGGCACGTGGTTCCCGTCCTCAGGGTTGCTGTTGCTACCTGCAGGCTCAGACTTTGCCAGAATCTTAAGGTTATATGCAAAAGGTAAAGAAATGGGCGGCCGCCACTCCCTTCCTCATCTCTACCCCCCCGCACGGTCCATATGGTACATTCCTCAAAGCTCGCCCAAGTGAGAAAGGGAGGAGTTGATTGGTTGGGAATCTTGGAAGGGCGCAAGGAACCACACAAAATGGCCAATGGAAAAACACGGTGGGCTTATCAAACCTGCCAGATGGGAAGAAGAGAGGATGCGTTTAAAGGGAACTTGTTTGTTGCCCTCAGAAGCCGTCACAAAACAAAACCATAATTTTCTTCCTCATCTTATCCAGCGGGAAACAAAGGGATTAGGGGCTCCTCAAATTTTGGGGTTAGAGAGCTAAACAAGATATGGAGAGAATTGAACCAGATATATATGTGTGACTTTGGGTAAGTTACTCTGTATCTCTCGGCCTCAGTTTCCTCATCTAATCCGATGACAATATTGGACTAGAAGTGATCTCTGATGGTCCTTTTCATATTTTGTGATCCTATAAACTTTTGCGTGAGATTAGCAATATTTACATATATTTTTCAATTTTCGGCATGCTTCTCCATCTTAAAGAACGTTGGTTGAAAGTAGACTTTCTGACACCAAATTCTTTGTACAGACAGTATAAACCCCATCTTTTGTAAAGACAAATTCAATATTCTTTGTAATATCCTCTCTTAAAGCAAAGCATTCTTCTTATGTGTGGAGAGCACCCCAGCTCTCTACTCCCCCCCAACAAATATCTCATAATTTCTACTCTTCCAAGAGTCACCTTTTCTTCTTCCTTCTCTCTTCCTCCACAGTATCAAAGTTTCAATTCATGATTACTACACCTGTTGAACCTCCGGAATCCCTGCCTTTAGCAACAAAGCTCACTGGGCAGTCCTCATTAGAATTTTAGTATATGTGCTGCGGAGGCGAGCACTGGGCAGTCCTCATTAGAGTCCCTGAAGTACTATCTGAAGTATCTGGCATACCATTCACTATTCATGGCCAATTATGCTTTTAGTCACACTACATGTCAAATTCAAGACTTTGAAAACATCCCTTGGGGGCCTAATCTGCTCTGTTTTAGCTGCCTACTGGCAGCTAGGCCTATCTTTTGGCCACCAAACTTCAGACCAACTCCACCTTTATTTTTCAGAACTTTTCAACCTTCCATCATCTGCTTACCCTACATCCACTCAGCCTTCTTTCAAATTATATGAGGTGTTTGGGATAGTTTTCTAATAGCTCCACTCCCACACACCCCCGCCCGCCAATTCATCTTCCAACTATCATTCAGTGAGTTCTAGAAAGTCCAGTTTCTCCATGAAGTCTCCCCAGGTTGATTAACAGAAGCTGCTAGCTTATAGAGCTCCCATTTCTACTCAGTGCCATAACCCTGAATTTCTGCCCCAATATGCCATTTTTATTAATATAGTTACCTCTCTCATTCATTTACAGCAGCATCAGCAGCTGTAAATGCTTACATTCATTAAATGCTTACTATGTGCTCAGTACTATTGGGAAGTGCTCTGCATGTATCATTTCATTTCACCATCACATGAACTATATGAAGTGCTATTATTATTCCTGTTTTATAGAGAGAAAGTGAGCCTTAGAGAAGCTGATTTGCCCATGTACACACAGTTGAGATCTAACTGTGGTTTCTATCCTAACAACCCCATAGTGCAATACTATCTCCTATTTCTTAAGAACCGACAGCATTCCATACAAAAGATAATATCATACACTTATATCATTTTTTACATGTCTATACCTATAATATCATTTCAGCCTCAAAATAACCATGTCAGGAAGGTTAGGAGCAGTTTGTCTGCAGTGAGGAAGAAAACTACAGCTCAGAAAGCCTGACCAGTTTAGTTATGGTAACAAGGCTGGTAAATAATGAAGTCTGGTTTTCCAAGTTGTCCATTTTTCCCACTGATATCCCTGCTCCCTGAGTGAACACAATCTTTTCACATAAAACCAGTACAGAACAATTATAAGGAATATGGGAACAAATAACTGCAAAACCCCCACCAGGGAATCCAGGGAGAATGGTACCAGCGCTGACAGTGCGCAGAAAACAGGTCAAGGAGGGCTTCTACAAAGAGTGAGAAGCACTCTGCATTTCTTTCTACTGGCTTGTTGTTTATATTCTGTCTCTGAGATTATGCCTTTGACACACCTGGCAGATTCAATAGCAAAGGGCAACAAAAACTGCCTCCCCCCCACCCACCCCCACCTCCGCCCCCTGCCTAAAGTACCTGGGGATAGAATCAGCCCCACGCCCCTGAGGAAGGGATTTCCATGTGCTGGTCTGCAGCTCACGGTTTCAGGGAAGTTTCCTAGCTGCTCTTCGGTAAAGTATCCTGCTCCGCAGACACTTGTAACACAGCCCTGACAATATAAGCTGGGCTAATGATCTCATTCTTTTTAAACTGAAGAAATCCTCATAGGGGTGGACAGGCTGGCAAAATCATGTGGGAGCCAGTAAACTTTTAATGCCGATTAAGAAGCCTAAGCATGGTAATTCTGAAGCCAATACTTCTGACTCGCTCTTTGCCTGGCCCAGAACTAGTCAGTCCAGTTAATTTTCACTCCCACTGCTCTCCTATCTTTTCTTATCCCAGAGAGCTTGACAATGCCTCTGTTTATCTAAGTGTTTCATTTATGCACTCTAACATCATAGTGGGCACCTACTATGAGCAAAGGACTGTCAGGTCGTGTGGGGTTATCCTGATGGATCACACACAAAACCTGTACTCACTGAGTGGAGAGGGTGATAAACATCAGATCCACTTGGTGAGGGATGGATCAAACTGGACTTCTCAAAAAGTGTGTGACAGGGGCGCCTGGGTGGCTCAGTCGGTTACGCGTCTGCCTTTGGTCAGGTCATGATCCTAGGGTCCCAGGATCGAGCCCAGCATCAGGCTCCCCGCTCAGTGGGGAGTCTGCTTCTTGACACTCTCCTCTCATTCTCTCTCTCTCTCTCTCTCAAATAAATAAATAAAATCTTAAAAACAATATATTGTTGGGGCGCCTGGGCGGCTCAGTCAGTTAAACATCTGACTTCAGCTCAGGTCATGATCCCAGGGTCCTAGGACTGAGCCCCACATGGGGCTCCCTGCTCCGCGGGAAGCCTGCTTCTCCCTCTCCCACTCCCGCTGCTTGTGTTTCCTCTCTCTCTGTCAAATAAATAAATAAAAGCTTAAAAAAAAAAGTGTGTGACAGGATTCCATCCCCAGTCTAATTGCAAGCTCATGTTGGAAAGTCTGTCCTCTAGGGTAGGAGGAAGAGCACTGGGCTGACTTCTGGGAGAGGGTAGGGTGGGGGAGATGCGCATATGTATTGGGGAGGAAGGTGGGAAAAGGGAAGGTATCCAGAAATAACTGGACATGTACCAAACAGTAGGGGGAATAATATCAATCCATAATTTGGCCATTAAAAGAAGTATGCTGTATTCTGTACCTACACCCCAATGTTTATAGCAGCAATGTCCAAAATAGCCAAACTATGGAAAGAGTCCAGATGTCCATCATGAAATCTTGCCATTCGCAACGAAATGGTTAGAACTAGAAGGTATGCTAAGTGAAATAAGTCAATCAGAAAAGGACAATTATCATATGATCTCATTGATATGTGGAATTTGAGAAACAAGGCAGAGGTTCATAGGGGAAGAGAGGAAAAAATGAAACAAGATGAAACCAGAGAGGGAGACAAACCATAAGAGACTCTTAATCTCAGGAAACAAACTGACGGTTCCTGGAGTGGGAGGGATGGGGTGGCTGGGTGATGGACATTGGGGAGGGCATGTGCTATGGTGAGGGCTGTGAATTGTGTAAGACTGATGAATCACAGACCTGTACCCCTGAAACAAATAATATATTATATGTTAATAAAAATAAATAAATTTTTAAAAATTAAAATAAATCTTTTAAAAAAGAGAAAAAAATTTCTGATTTCAAAAGTAATACATGTTCATCGTTTAAAATTTTGTAATACAGAAAAGTATAAAAAATTAAAATTACTCATTACCCTTAACAGCATATCACTGTTACTATTTTCATGTATTTTTCCTGTATTTTCTTGGTGTATGTGTGTATGTCTTTTTTGTATGTATCCTTTAAACACAATTTGATCAAACTGCTCTGCAGTCTACTTTCTCATAACAATAGACTAGACATTTTCCCATGCCAATAAATTTATTCTAATACATGACTTTAAGTGGCTGCACTTTAAGTGGCTATACTTTAAGTTATTTAACCAAGATTTTCTTTTTAATCATTAAGGTTATTTCCAATTTTCCACTATTATATGTAACTTCGAGGATTATCCATATATATAAATGTTTATATATGCTTATGATTATTTCCTAGTATTTCTAGAAATACAATTCCTTGGTCAAATGTCATGCACATTTTTAAATGTTTCATATATATTGTCAAGTTGTCTTTCAGGAAGTTTACACCAGTTACTTTCCCACCAGCAGGGTATGAAGGGGCTATTTCTCTGGACCCTCACCAATCCTAGGCATTACTCTTCTTTTGTAATCCTTGTCAATTTAGCAGATGAAAAACATCCCGTTGTTTTAATTATTAAGTGTATTTTTACCTATCAAAGTGGTAAATAGGTATTTTTCCTTCCAAGTGCCCTGAAATTAAACAGCAAAATGAGTGTTTCCCTTTTCCTCCATTTAACTACCCTTCTCCCAAATCCCTGAAAAAATGATAGAAAAATCAGAGTAGAATCTGCTCAAATG